ACGAAGGTAGACAGCATTTCAGATGAAGAGATGATAGATGATGACGATTTGCTGCCATCAAACATGCCAAATGAAGTTCCTGGAAGAGTTGGTGTTCTTTTAGAACAAGCAGACGCACGTAATGATGTTGGATTACAAAAAAAAGATAAAAAATGTAAGAAGCCAGAACCAAAATGGACCAAAAAAATAAATTTCACTGGAAAATCATCAACAGGAACACCAGAAAAAATAAGATCAAAATATCCAGAATTATGTTCCAAATCACCATATCATCTTTTCAAACTTTATTATGACAATGAGTTGAGGGATATGATAGTGAATGAGACAGTCAAATATGCTGGACAAAAAAACAATAATAAATTTGAATTTAATCACCTAGATTTGGACAAATTTGTTGGAATACTTTTACTGACTGGATATCATACATTGCCTCGGGAAAGAATGTACTGGAATAGGGATGAAGATATAAGAATTACATTTGTGGCAGAACAGATGTCTCGATCACGATTTCTAGAAATTAAAAGATATATTCATTTGGCAGATAATGACAAGATTGTTCAAGGAGACAAATTATTTAAAGTTCGTTCTTTCATTTCTGCATTGAATACTCGTTTCCAACAATTTGGTGTTTTCAATAAATTTCTTACTATTGATGAAGAAATGGTACCCTATTTTGGACATCACTCAGCAAAAATGTTTCTACGAGGAAAACCCATTCGTTTTGGGTATAAACTTTGGGTATTAGCATCATCCAGTGGATATCCATTCAATGTACAGGTGTACTGTGGCAAAGAACCACAGACAACAAATGATGAAAGTCATGGACTAGGTCATCGTGTAGTCATGTCACTGTTAGATTGCCTTGAAAATCCTGCTGATCATGAAGTTTTCTTTGACAATTTTTCACCAACTACTCTTTGCTCAGCTCACTGAAAGAAAAAAATATAAAAGCAACAGGGACAGTAAGAGAAAATCGTTTGACAAAGTGTCCATTGATGGATTCAAAAACAATGAGAAAGAAAGACAGAGGATTTTATGATGCATGTTGTGACAAAAACGTAATCGCGGTCAAGTGGAATGATAATCAATGTGTCATAGTTGCATCAAATTATGATAAAATTCTTCCACTTGGCAAAGCTCGGAGATGGAGCAGCACCAAGAAAGCCTCTGTAGATGTACCTCAACCAGCACTCATTAAAAGGTACAACACACACATGGGAGGAGTCGATTTGCTTGACAGATTTATGGCTTCCTATCGACCAATGTTGAGGTCCAAGAAATGGTGGTGGCCATTGTTCATAAATGGAATAAACATGGCTGTCGTAGCAGCCTGGCGACTTCATGTTGAAGTGGGAGGAACTTTTGATCATCTAGATTTCAGGAGATATATTGTGCGTACAATCATGCAACTGCAAGAACCAGCACAGATGATGACAGGACCTTATAGCCAACCTATTCCTGATGTAAGATTCGATATGACGGGTCATCATTTGGTTCCATCTGGGAAGCAATCCAGATGTCGACAATGCAAAAAAAATGCACGTCTTCAATGTAACAAGTGCAATGTTCCATTGCATCTTCACTGTGAAAAAGATTATCACGAAAAACAATAAATTTAACAGTTTTAATAAATGACTAATAAAATTTGACTAAACTATATTTTTTCACAAATTCATTTGATTAAAAAAAATCATTTTTCTTTGCGTTTTACATTTTTTCCATATAATTAAAAGTCTGCTATATTTATTTCTATGTTAAAAAAAAGATGTTCCCAAATGGGAACATGGTAGTTGATGTGCCCATTGTTCCCATTTGGGAACACGCCGCCATTTTGTTACAAATAATAAAATCCAAAAAAATACTTGTGCTAGGGTCTCATATTAGGTATAGCTACCTAACTGAAAAATTTGATACTTTTTGGTAGCGTGGTTATGATTTGGGCACTAATGGGTTAAATCAAATAATTAAAAAAAATAAACATTTTTTATGGATTATATTTTTATTACATTTGAATTTTAGTGAACAATGATACTTTAAAACAAATATTTTTTTACAGAAATTTTGAAAGGTCAACAGAATGATGACACCATAAAACATTGTAGGTCCATGTTTGCCATTCTGATTGGTTCAACAGATTACCTATTGTGTTCTGCTCTGCACTATACGCTTTGAAGCCTCTATCAGAGATAAATCTGGAAGCATGAAAATTTATCGAAACACGTTTTCATATTCGACAAATTAAATTTGTTTTAAAAGTAAAAAAATGTGTAGGCAAAAATTTCATAACTTAATTAAAGTTAAAGTTGATGATGACTAGCAAACAACAAAAGTTTACTTGACAAGTTTTTCAACTAAAATATAGTCGTCAGGAAGTAGCATAAACTTTTCAAGAATTTCCTTGTTATAGTTTGGGTGTTTGACGGCCATAACGTACCATTCCATAAAAATAATTTTAACCTAATATTTGAAAAAAAATCAATGGGTGCATAATTTGAAAAATGTGTAAATGATAAAAAAATCGTACATTATTCTGATCGAAAAACTTATCAGCAAAAGCGAAAGCTCTGTGTTCAAATCCTTGCACGTCCATTTTCATAATGACGTCCAAATTATTTTTTGACAATGACATGTTAATAACAATATGTGAAATATCATCTAGGTACACGCTTTTAGCCGCTTGAGTAGATTGCATCATGTTTGTTGAGAGCTGTAAATGCAAAAAAATCAATTGAAAAATATTTTAAAGGTTTATAGTAAACGTATTATGTATGTAATCATTAATAAATTTATAACCGGTTTTATTTTCAACCCAAAACATTCAACATCCAAATATTCATATCACTATCTATCACTATCTACTATGTTCATCCATACTACACCGTCCACTTTTGTCTTTTCTTTACAATCCCACACTTCTCTATTACTTACGACTGCACTAGTTTTATTATTATCATATTGTTACAGACGTGAGATGGAGATAAAGGAAACTAATAGTTAGAAATTGTTAAACATGCATGGAGGAATGAACCGCTTGTAGATTAATTGGAAGGTGTAAAGTAATTAAAATGGTTGAAAATTCATTTATGGACGTGACACTGCGATATGACACATTTACAAGCAGATCGGTATATTAACAATGCAGAAGCGAGATTCTAGAGAGTGGGGGGGGGGAGAGGAGAAAACGAAGAAGACGGAACACAGTTGTTGACGTAGAAGTGAGATTTGATGCGAAGTCGTAGATGTTATTTACGTAGTTATTTGGATTAATTTATTGGTTCTATTACAGCTGGTATTAAATAAACGTTCAACTTAGTTTGCGTTTGAAGTAGTTGTGTTCATATATCGGAAATCTTGAACCTACGGATAAACGAACTCTTGATTATTGTTGGAAGCTACAACACGGCGTTAGAAATATAGCGAGTATTGAAGCTATAACATCGGTGTTGGTAGTTACGAGGTCGAGGAGGTTACAACACTGGTGTCAGAAGTGGGATCTTCAGGAGATTACGACACTGGTGTCAGAAGGAAGATTTTGATAGCTGAAAACTCACTGCTGTAATGAATGCCAGGGCTAGAAGAACTCAATATAAGTCTGACAAGAGAAGCTTAATTATTGACGATTGATTTTATTCCGTGAAAGCATTCACGTAGAGAGCAATAACTACCCTACAAGTTCAGGGGGTCGGTTATAGCAATATCTATGCTTTTGTTGCAAACGTGAAGACATTCGCATTTACTATTATACTATTACGACAAATTAATTGTCGAAACGTCGTCCAGCAAAATTTTGTACAAAATTTAACTTAATTTTATTTTTATGAATGCAGATCCGTATCGAGGGCATTTTACGCCTGGGGGCAAAGTATAAAATTGGAGAAGCAACGTTATACAAATTTTATTATATGAATCACTCAGCCACTGCCAGAGATAATTTACACAGCCAACAATAGATTTATTTTTCATGATTTAACGGTCGCAAATTGATCAATCACGACACCGAAATCTGTTGTTTCCAATGTAGTAAGTATTTTTACCATTTTTACTGAAAAATTATTGACTAACAAACAATTTTACCATTCCATTTTAGCAAATTAAAGTTAAAAACCAATTAGTAACAAAAATTAAATGTATAACGTATTGTACAAAATAATGTGAAAACTCACATTGAAGTAAACTCTGGAATCACCTTGATTGTTGGGTGTTGTCGACATATAGACAGTTGACCTAATGTTAGATAACACATTCTGAATAATCACAACTCGATCCAGCAGATTTTCAATTTCCAACGACGCATACAATCTTTCTACCATTGCCGTCATTGGTTCAACAGCTACCACAAGAAATCCCATTTTCGCAGCTAACAACGTATAGTACCCAATATTTGCACCTATGTCGACAAAAGTCGCGTTTGGGTTAGCTTGAAAAATCTGTTTTTAATTATTTATGACATTACATCATCAGAAAATACAATTGTGATGAACTTATTCGTCAAAACTAAAATTGAATGTTGGGCTTGTAAAACTCTAATAAAAAGAATTTTAAAAAATATATTCACTCTGATGAATAACAAAGATTCAAACGTTTCCCAGGAACCTTGGTTTATGATAGAACCTGATATAAACACATCAACATTGGGATCGTGCACACAAATTGTAAAATTAGGTTCTGTTTTGGTCTTCACACAGTTAAATTTTATTTCGTTGGTAAAATTTCTTTTATAAATATGTACTCCATTTAATGTAATGTTTTGATGTAAATCATTTTTAAGGACAAGAAAATGCCATAGAAAAATCATTATAAGAGCCAGGACCAGAGCTTTCTTGAACGTGGGTGCATATTTCGTTGAAATAAACGTCATTATAGACATCTTTCTAAAAAAAAACAATTACAAAGTAAAAATAGTATTAAACTGCTTTATGAATACAACAAATCTACTCAATCAACTTCAATAAAGTTCAATCAATGAACTAATTTACAATGAACTGTGATATAAGAAATAGTATGTGCGTGTACACATAATAATTTATATATATGTATGTATATATATATATCTATATAATTAATGTATGTATACAACATATTCAATACATATATAAAATTGTTTCAAAAGATTTAGCAGTTGCTCCTATTTAAAAAATTTATTGAATTTAAACAGAAAAAAAGGTTTTCTTATGCATAATTTTATTAGATATAAAATTAAAAATAAAAATTAAAAGTTATAAAATAGTTTTTTTTATTTATAAAATTCATCAAAACCCATTACTAAAAATGTGTTAAATTTTCTGCTCATTCACCTAATCATCAAATTTTCAGAAATGTTCTTTTATGCAGGGATTCAAGTTAATTTACAAATTTAAAAATTAAAAAGTCGTTTTAATAAATTTTGAAGATAAATTATTTTTGAGGTCTCCAGAAGAATTATGATTATTTGATTTGAAAATTTAGTTTTTCATAATATATTATTTATCCACTATTACTCTAAAAAATTATCATTCACATTACCATAGTAATCATAATGAAAAAGCATATATTCTTCATGTAGGGATCGTCAGTGAAATGATTTATTTATGCACGTACGTCTAAAATTTATTATAATTACATATTAAAAAATAATTTATAATAAATATACGTTTATTACAATTATACTATTCATTATCAATGAATAATTGTTGAGAAAACAATAAAATGCGGGCCTCGAACCGTTATTTTTTCCGCTTCGGTTTTCCGTAACAGATTTCCGTTTATCATAAAAATAATTTGTTTTCGATTCGACGATTCGAGACCCTAAATTAAAGATAAATTAACAAACATTTTATAAAATTGTTAAATATTTTTAAAATTTTATTCGAATGAATTAGACAATGAATAACATTTTTTTCAATTCACGCGACACGACAGAATCTAATCTATTGCAACAAATCGAGACGCGCTTAATTCTGAATTTCAAGTATCTAACGGCTCTTTTCTATAATGGCTATGTTGACGCGGCTTAACTAATCGCCAAACGCAGTTTTAGTTATTTGTGAAAGTTTTAGAGTATTTTTATTTGTATATAAATGTAATTCAATAAACATTTATGAATATGATTTGCTGTACAAATTGATTTGTGGAATAATTACAAAAGCAATAAAATAAACTGATAATGTTTGTGATGAAAATGATTGTGATGAAAATGACAGTAAACGATTGTGATGGAAATGATAGTAAAAAATTGCGATTAAGACAAATCATGAAATTTGAGTTGCTGCCAAATAATTCTTTCATCCATTCAGCTAACACAATAAAAGCATCGTAAATTTCATCAATAATCATTTCCAAATATTTCCCACCGGGGACATGCTAACGGACAGCTGATGATTTGTGGTTGATTATAAAAAGACTAGGTCAACTTAAAGTTTAAATGCTATATTTTAATTTTTACTGAAAAACTCCAGATCTCCGATAGATTAATTTCAGTCTAAAACACTTTAGTGTTCACATTGGTTTCTCTAACTCCTTGCTACCTGCATCTCATTCTGGTTTCAAACCTGCTCACAGTACTGAAACTTCTTTACTCAAAATACATAATAATATTCTTCTCTTTAATGACAATGGTAATCTTACTCTTCTTCTTGCTCTTGACTTTTTTTCTGCTTTTGATAGTGTTGGTAATACTATTCTCTTGAGGCTGCTTTAATATTATTTATTTTTATCTATCTTGGTTTTTTTCTTATCACTGTAGTCGTTTTTCTTCTGTTGTTCTTATTAATTCTATTTCTAACTTTTCTACTCTTACTTTTGGGGTACCCAAGGGTTTTATCCATTGGCCCTCTTCTATTTATACTCTATACTTCTGAACTATGTCGTATTATTAATAATTTTTCTTTCTTTCACTGGTAAATTAGGCTGATGGATATATTTATACTTCTTTTTCTCCATCTAATCTCAATATAGTGCTCTTCATAATTTTTATGTATCTCTGTCTTTTTTTTCAATTTATCGCTTTGTCTGACTCTATGCGCCTTAAATTTTATCCTTCTAAATTTGAATTAATTTTTTTCAATAAATCTAAACACTATATTACTATTCCTTCTATTGTCTTACCTGATTCTAAAACTTTTGATGTTTTTCACAAGTTTCGTAGTCTAGGCATTATTTTTCATTTTAGCATGTCTTTTTCTTCTCAAACTAATAGTGTTGCTAGAAAAAACTTTTGCCTTTTCTTGACGATCCTACTCTTCTATTTCTTGTTACTTCTTTAGCTTTATCTAAGATTGATTTTTGTAACTCGATTTTTTATATGGACTTCCCGATTCTACACTTTATTCTAAAGCTTTTAGCTCTGCTGCTCGTCGTTGCTCGTGAACATTTCTTTTTTCATATATTTCAATGTCTTCTTGTACCGGTTGCATATAAAATATGGAATAATTTTTAAATCTGCGTATTAATGTACAGGTCTCAATCTAAATTATATCCTAAGTACTTATTACATATATTAATTGAAACAAAACGCCTTGATTTACAGTTGTCTTCTTGTTCTCAATTCTTCTTAACTCATGTTAAACATTCTTATTGTAAATTTGCCTTTGCTTTTTCTGGCCCTTTTTTCTGGAACTCTCTGCCTCCATCTCTGACTACTTCTCCATCACTTGCGAAGTTCAGAGCAGATCTCAAGACTCATCTGTTTGCAAAATTCACTGAGGAGCGCTGTTGAACATTGCGAAAATAGCGCTTTACAACATGCTTTTCCATGCTTTACTAGCTATTGTGTTGATTGAAATAAATCAATTAAAAAATAATTAAAATGTATAAAATATATTTATCAATATACTACAAAAATGTAAAAATTGTAAAATTTGATGAGTTTGATGAATAATTGTTTATGGAAACTAAAGTGTGCGAGAGTGCGTTCGAGGGCCAGTGTTGGTAAAAGTATATGGTGGATCGTTTTCATTATTCTATATATTTGGTTTTCCTTAACTTTTAAAAATATTTGTCCAACTGTACTTACGTCCATGAATAAGTGTTACATTCGCAACTGGCTCGATAGTTTAATATATTTTACTCTTTTAACGTTAGCGAATCATCGTCGTTTTATTTTAACATTATTCGCTTAACTTTTTCAATTTTGTGCTTTTTTAAACCTTTTTTTTTGTTTTTTAATTGTAATTAAAGTCCAAGTTCGTCGAGTTACTTTACCTAAGTATAAGATTGCATTATTGTTCTGTTTGATTTGATTTTTGATTTTGATACAGCTGATACCTGACACTCTAACTAACACTAACTCTATTGATACTGTCACTAGATACCGTCATAAGTGATATACAGATATGATATATTGTTTGATACTAACTGATAAGTGATGGTAATACCTTAATTTAATTAAACATTACTTTACAACACTTCATGGTACATAGTTGAACTCTATGGATAGAATAGCTTTTTTAATATTTAAAATTAAATCAAATTTAATAATTAATTAATCAAATGAAAATTAAATTAAATAAAAACTACTTACAAATTTTATTTTTGAGTTTTGAAATAAAAAAAATAAATTAAATGAAGCAAAGTAAACATAAAATATTTTTTTATTTTAGAAGGTAGAAGTGATATATTATATAATAATTTTATTGTAATAATAATTTAATTTAATTTAAAATAATAATTTAATTGTAAAATATAGCGGTTAACTTTCCGAAGACTATAAGATAACAAAAAAAAAACAACATTTAAAAATTAAAAATTCTTAATTTGAATTGAAATTTGATTTTAACTTCTAGTAAATTAGTGCTGGATAATTAAACTTTATTAAAGTTTGTAAAATTCATTAAGTATAAAGAAATAAAATAAAATAAGTAAATTAAAGTCACTGCAAAATTTAGGTTTATTTGAATTTGAATAATTAGTAAAATTACAAAATGTATAAGAAAGAATGGAAGAAAAATCTATCTCGAATGAAGCAACTAGCCAACCAGGGTCTTGGCAGGTAATTAATTATTAATAAAATTATTTTATATTGTTATTTTTTATTCTTTAAATTAACAGTTTATTATTTATTTTTTGTAATGTAAAATTTTTATAATATAAAATAAAATGATTCAAAATATCCATCTATTACTTTTCTATGTTTATCCAATTTTACTAAATAAATTTAAATTATTAAAAATTAAAAAAGTTTAATTAGGAAAATAGCATTAAAATGCACAAGAAGATTTTCAAACAATCAAAATAATGGAATTTATTGTTTAATTATTGGTTAGCAAAATAAAACTTTATACAACAAAACATACAATACACACATGAGTTCATCAGAATTATCTTATTATTGTTTGTGTAAAACAACTTTTTAATTTTTCTAACTACATAAAAAATGTCAATTTTTTCCCCAAAAAGTATTTAAATTTTAAGTAATGAATAAGTTTATAAACTACACACACACACACACACAGTTGTTTAAAGTTTGAAAATTTTTACATAGAATTTTATATTGAAAATTTAAAAAAAAATCAATCTAATATTTGCATTTTTTGAAATTTTATAACACTTGTTTTCCTTAAACTTAAAGTAGCTTATTCGTGAATTCCATTCATCATAATAGGTCAGAAAAATCAGAAGTCCTGACAGAGAACATCATACTCCTTGAGAAACTCTCTGAGGAGTTGAAGTCAGTGCTACGTGTGAGCAGCAAAGCTCTGCAGACATGTCTGGCCCCACCGACAGCTGGAGACCATGAGAAGAGATTGGTTAGTTCTTATGTGTCTGTTCTCTGGAACTTCTGATAGATTATACATCTGTTTTATTTTTTGGCACCCATATGACTTAATAAAAACAAAAGAAAAGATTGGTTAATTTTTTTAAGGGATTCTTGTAGATTAATCATCAATTTCG